GTTAACTAAAATACTTTAGAATTTAAAGCATCAAGTATGAACAGATGTTTCTATCAGTTTTTCTTTCATAAATGAATGAAGAACATAATGCAATACGTTTGAATATCATGATAAGCGTTTTATGATAAAAAATAAAAATTGGAGAAATGAAAATATTTTTTTAAGATGAAATTATATTTGTGTTAAAATGAATATACCGTTTATGTGTAGACTGCAAAAGCTTGATAAGAAAAGATAACATTTAAAAAGAACAAAACCTCGTTTTGTTTTCGTAAGCCTACTTCTTTCTATGTGTGTAGTAAGAAAAGAAAAAGACAAGGCATAAGATAAAAGATTTTTCCGAACACGGCTTTAGATGTAGTCTGATATAGTAGTTCACAAATTACGCAGCGCACTGGCAAGTTGTGCGTAACACGATTGCATTTTCGCTCTTGCAGTTTTGTTGCTTTTCTTATAATCAACCGCTGTTTAGAATTATTAGGACAAATCATACAATAAAACTTAGTCTCATTGATTATTATCATCAATGAACAAAAGTGCGTTACAATTATTTTGTAACAAAAAAAATAAGATAATTAAGTAAGAGACGTTCATGACCACACCGAGAAACCTCATAATTAGGTTTTCTTCAGAGTGCCCCTCAGGGTGTTTTTAGTTGGAGCATTGTTCACAAGGGGCTCCACTTTGATCTCGGGATATCTCTCGTGGCATATTTTCAAGTAATTTCAATTTCTTCGTCGAAAAGAGGAAGTTTTTTTGATAAGAATAATCGCTGCCGTCAACAAAGGCGAATGTCTTCTAATGGCTAGCTTTTCTATCTAACCGAACATTCAAAGACATAATATTCTACACATCAACGGTATATTCATTTTAACACAAATATAATTTCATCTTAAAAAAGTATTTTCATTTCTCCACTCGTCCTGCTTTATAGGTCAAATTTGTTTTAATCTCGTTTATTGGTGTAAAAGTAGAAAATCCAAAAGGTACAACCCACAAAAGTAGTTTTAGAGAAAAGTACAAATTACTGTGTCAAAAATGACACAGCGTTATCTTTGGACAAGCCGTCAGAAGGATGAATGTAGCAATAGAGTAGTAAAACATATCGAGATGCACCAAATTAGTCTAACAATGACTGAAACCATACGGACAATTAACATAGCAGATCTTGTAACAGTATCTAGTGTTGTTAAAAGCAGTTGTTCGATCCGACTAATTATATCGGGTATACAGCTTGTACTGGTTTTCAAAGCTTGTACAAGACTTTTTTTAGCTGATAAGTCTTTAGCGATAACTACAAGTATAGAAAACCAATCTGACGGTGGTAAATTACACACCCCACTACTAACATAACACGACGGATGTGATGCAAATGCTAAATCTTCTAATTTTTTACAGTTGTTTTCACAGTTTTTTAGCGGTGTAACCAGTGCTTTCTGTAAACAATTCATTGTCATATAAACCCATGTTTGACCTTCAGAACTGAATGATTTTATATTGTTCATAAATTTGGTACAATATTTTGATCCATATCGTAGCGCATATCCGTCAGATCCACAATTTGTTTTTGTTTCCATACAACTGACATAGAACTGACAACTTTTCGTCGGTGGATTCAGGCACGTAGGGGATGACATTGGATCGGATTTACATTGATCACATTCATTTTTGCTTTCAACACACAAATCCGATCCATATTTGTCAACTGTAACAGATGATTGAAACTGTCCATCTGCAACATTTGAAACACCAATGGCAATTTGAATGACTTCCGGCTCTAGACCTACAGGCATTGTAAGGTTTGTCCATGATGTTGCTCCCGTAGCATAATCAAAAGCACCAAGGCCCAGTGCATTCATACTCTGTGATATTGTTCTATATGTACCTTTTTCAGAGATTAGTGTAATACTAAAATAATCGTTGAATTGTGATCCAAAATAGCCGCCTGGTACCTCCGAAGTAATAAAACGATGTTCTACGTAGACTTGAGTCGACTTTGATTCGCTTACAAATAATGCCGAGCGGGTTTGTAAATCTACCAGTTGGTTTGTATTTACGGTTAATGACTGACTCTGCCGCTGTTGTTGTTGATTTCCGTCACCGCTAAAAGGTATCAGTCTTATGGTAATACCAAAGGAAGACGGCGCTATACCTGCTAAGCCGATTTGATTATCGATAGTATGAGCAAAAAGTGATACAGTTGTTGGTGGAACGTTTTCGAATGTGACAGTACCCTGATTATTGGTAATTCCATGTTGACTCACACTACTATCGTCAGTCAGATTCTACTGAACTGAAACTCCGGCAGCTGTTGTACCATTTGCATACAATACACGTACTGGCATTGATATTGTTCCAAAATAAAGATAGGTAAGCCATAGATATCTTGACCGATAAGACTAAATAAGACGGCACCAGGAGGAAAGCCGTCAACGATTGTGATACTATCGTTGGAACTGTTAGACTTGACAACATTTAATCCCGCACCGTCTGTGAGTGTAGTTCCTTCGGTGATTTTAAATATAACGTAGTTTTCAACATCTAAGATTGGACACGATAATTTAAGTGTAAACAGTTGATTTGCTTTATTGAACAAGTCTTCATCGATCGAACTGGGAAGTGTAACAGTGACCAGTGAATATGTGTCTGTTGAATTATTAGGAATGCAATCAGATGATGGCGGCGGAGTTGTAGTTTTTTCTAGAGAAATCAACGATAAAGATCTTAAAATATATCAGACTTTTAACTAGTCAAGCGTTAGGTAAGATGTTTATATCCTTTTGAATGAAACAGAATGTCTTCGACTTGAACGACGTTGCTCTAAAAATCGTAAGCTTTAATAATAGGCACTAGAACAGGAGGTGTGGAAGATGGTCATTTTCAAATTGTAAGGCAGAACAAAAATGAATAACTTGTTCGCTTACTTGAACTCTGCTTTGATCGAGTTGTTACTACTACAGTTGGTACAACAATTACAACAGCAATGGCAATTGTAATAACAACACCAATGAGTATGCCTTTGGCTGTCACCATTTCTTGTTGCTTTTAGATACAACTTAAACAAAGTTTTACCAGTGACGTCTCTTAGTATCTAAAAATAAGAATTGCAGCAAGATCAAATTCATGAATGGGGTCCGCTGTAAGAACGGCTACCGAATGACTTCGTTTAGCTTTATCGCAATTCTAGTTTCGTAAAACGACAGTTGTAATGCCAGAAGGTGACTTCTCCGTATTTGAAAACCAGGATTTGTACTACTGTGAATACAACTTAATGAATATATAAAAAGAAAACGAAAAACCTTAATGCAATATGTATACTGCTCGGAAAGAGAATGAATCATAAAATTCCCCCTACTTGGTTGTAAAAACCGCGAGATAAGAATGTGTAATAGGTTTTTTCATATTTTACAATGAATAAGTTTTTATTATTTATTTTTATATTAGAATATTCTGGTTCATAAGAAATATGTTTCGATAAGAAAAGGTAACATTTAAAAAGAATAAAACTTCGTTTTGTTTTCGTAAGCCTACTTCTTTCTATGTGTGTAGTAAGAAAAGGAAAAGACAAGGCATAAGATAAAAGATTTTTCCGAACATGGCTTTAGATGTAGTCTGATATAGTAGTTCGCAAATTACGCAGCGCATTGGTAAGTTGTACGTAACACGATTGCATTTTAGCTTTTGCAGTTTTGTTGTTCTTCTTATAATCAACTTGGTTTTTCAATCGAAAAACCATTTTCACTAAAAATTTCCTTGACTTGTCCAAATGAAAGAGCACGTCGTCAAACCTACAGAAAACAATTTTTCAAGGTTCTAAGCGAGATTTTGAGCGAGTCTTCTGCGTCCAAAACTTAAAATTTTAAGGTTTTAAAATGTCTCTTTATTCATAGGAAATCGCTGTCTATATATATGAGGGATAATCATGCCTCTGTGAAACTGCTTTATTGGCACCTTTATCACAAATTGCTAATAACATGTGTGAAAAAACAGAACAGAAAGAAAAACAGTAGTTTTTCTTTTATAAATTGTGTAAGAATATTAGCGGTTTTTCCCTCTTTTTTTAAGTTTTAGATGCAGAAGACTCAGCGAGATTTTAGAACCTTGAAAAATTGTTGTCTGTAGGTTTGACGACGTGCTCTTTCATTTGGACAGATCAAGGAAATTTTTTAGTGAAAATGGGTTTTCGATTGAAAACCAAGATCTTTAAAAAATGGGTCTTTAAATCGAAAGCGGGCAAAAACCATTGTGGTATTCGGAATCAGCACGTTCGATTACCTATTGTCAACTGGGTTTAAGCTCAAAAGCGAGGAGGCAGTTGGTGGCCTTCCCTCGTTAGTTTCATTGATTATTATCATCAATGAACAAAAGTGTTACAATTATTTTGTAACAAAAAAAATCAGATAATTAAGTAAGAGACGTTCCATGAGCACACCGAGAAATCTCACAATTACGTTTTCTTCAGAGTGCCCTTACTCGAACCACCTAAACGAGTAAATAATAAACTGACAAGTTTTTAGCTATGTTACTTATTATTATTAAACGTGAATAGTTAGTTATCATCATGATACAGTTGTTTATGATTGGTTTCCACATTTGTTTTTGCCGTTGATCATCAAAATTTGACCTATAAAGCAGGACAAGTAGAAAAATGAAAATACTTTTTTAAGATGAAATTATATTTGTGTTAAAATGAATATACCGTTGATGTGTAGAATATTATGTCGTTGAATGTTCGGTTAGATATGAACACATGTTCCTATCAGTTTTTCTTACATAAATGAATTCTCTTGAAGAACATAATGCAATACCCTTGAATATCATGATAAGCTTTCCAAAAAGCGAATACATAATATTTTGTGTCTATAAATGTATGCATATGAATGTATGCGGAGAGATCGCGAAATTATGCTGACCAGTTCATCATCGGAACATTGTTTCGGTTGAACTAGTTCATGATAAATTACGATATATGAGGCTGTACGTTGTCCTAAATGTGTAGTCAACCGTTGTGTTGAATTTCAAAACTGCCTTCGATGAAGGCCCGCAAAACGTCACCAATGATCTGGAAAAATGTAGGTAAAATGTCTATGCAGTACAGTGTCATAATCGCAAGAAGTCCTTGGTTTTTTATTTTCGGTAAAAGCTGGAACCAATCTGCATACTATTGTGGATAGCCCGAAGATTATTCTATCAGATGAGGTGCACATCACCGTTTCATGAGAAAAGGTGTGTCTAAAGCACTAAGATACGTGAAGATTATGACATCGGCCAAGTGTTTCGACTATTGACCCATGTGGGCATATCTTTGGAAGATTTATTTATTTATTTTGAAGCCCGAAAAGTTCTCTATCTTTTTATGTGTAAAGACTCCGGGTCTGAGTAGATGCATTGAAGAAGTATTCCTTTAAAGTGTCAAGATAGGTGAACTTGATAATATGCCAAGTGTTTTGACTATTGACCCATGTGGGCATATTTTTGAGAGACAGAAAAATTCTCGATCTTTGTATGTATAAAAAATTCCGGTTCTGAGTAGATGAGTTCAAGAAATATTCCTTTAAAGTGCTAAGAAAGGTGAAAATGATGCTATCGACCAAGTATTCCGACTATTGACCCATGTGGACATATTTTTGAAAGATTTATTTCTAGCTTGTTTTGAAGCCCAGAAAATTCTCTATATTACTATATATGAGTTTTGCTCAAAGTCTTTGAAATCGGACCAGAAATTTGCGGAAAAGGATAAAGGGCCATTGTTGGAATGGTGACGAAAAATGGAAAGAAATTTTTGCCTGAAAGACACGAGAATGAATTTTTGGAGTGGTAAGCGTTGGAAAGCGAAAAGGAAAGCATTTCCGATCATTTTCACTCAAAATCATTTTGGACTATTTTCTAACAGAAACCGTTCCCCGTCCTTTTCTTATTATCCGATTTTAGCAACATTTTCTGACTAGGTAAAAAAAACAAGTATGGTCAAAGTACATAATGAACGAAGGAACCAATGATGGGAGAAGCTTGAATTTGTACATCAATCTCAGAAAATAAGAGGATCCAAGTTTAGAGCAAATAAAAAGCTCGTGTTTTTGAAAGTACTAATGAAATAAAAACATGTGACAATCTTCGCTTTTGTGTTTTAGTAATTACGAAAAGGCTATTCAATGTAAGTAGGGTTAAAAATAACCATAGACGACTACATTGACGAAAACTTTCGCACTCTGACGAAATGTTCTACTCCTCTCTTCATCTTTCAAGGTCTTTGGCTGTCGTAAGACTGGAGTGTTTTGTACATATTTTGCAGTGTCGAATTTATTTTTGTCGAAGAATAAGGTAAATCAATCTACAGACAACGTTGAGAAAAAATTTGGTGAAACAGAAAAATAAATTGAGAAGTGAACCACCATCAGATGTTTGAATTCTGCCTGTTTCTGTTGTTTTGTTCTGTTTTAATTCAGTATGAATGAGGGAGAATTAGTCAACAGTATTGCTGAAAAACATACTAACGAGGGAATGTCCCCAAGTGTCTAATCGCTTTTTGCTCGAAACATAGATGGTTATTGGTTCATTTTAGACACTAATCGCGAATATGATATTTATTTGGGTCCATACGGACTTCTGACGTGGATCTTTGGAAAACCGGTCTCTTGAGATCCATCCTGAAATCCAAGATGAAGCGATTCTGAGCTAACTGTCTTGTAGAGTATGTCGAGTTATCTGTACGAAAGTTTCCAGATCTAAAGATTGACTTTTAGATGACTTGAAAATTTTTTTCCACCTGTTTCTAAAATGAAATTCGTTAAACTCATCCAAAACTCAATCTTTGGGTCTAGAAATTTTTTACACTGGTACCTCGACATGCTCTACAAGACAAATAAACCCCTGGGTAGAACAGAACGATACTCTAAAGAGTTTGATGTGTGAGGCGTATTAGAACGACACATCGCTCTACCTCGTCCAATAGAACTTTTTCTTCATTTTTCTGTGCGAGCATCACCAGACATTTCTCTCTCGTCGGTTCTGTAAATCAATCCTTAAGTCATAATTTTCTTTTATAGATCAGGACAAGTTATTAAAGTCGAAAAATGATAACTGCGTCTTCTCTTTGGACAAATTAGAACGACATCCCAAAAAACTTGATGTACTGGGACAAAATAGAACGACATGTCGATCTATTTTGTCGTACATAGGATGATCCAGAAGTTCTTGGAACTGATAAAACATTATCCAAGGAAAATAGATTCGATTTATCAATCTACCGCAAACGTTGGAGGTCATCAACGCGATGTTCGATACAAATTTGCATTCTCTAAATCAGCTTTTAAAACTTTTTTTATATTCATGACAAGTATCGAATTCAGTACCTTGGTTATTACTTTACTTAAACTTTTTACATCTGTGTATTTATCTAGCCTATCTCATGGGTAACTGAGAAGCTGTACGTCAGAAGAGTAAGGTGGGTTGAATACCCCAGATGAGTTACATGTCTTGTATTCCTTCTTTACGATAGTTAATAACAATGTTTTTCACATGTAGCTGTGCATATCATGATGAAATTTGATAATATTTGTTCCTCATGTTGATCTTTTGTGTGATAAATTTTTAACTAGTGGTGTTAAATATTCATTAAAATAATCAATAGCATTGTACCCTCAGATTGTAGGCGATGAATAAATGGACCAGTTGCCATAAATAAGATAAATAATCAACATTGTTGCTTTTTCGTATTGTTGCCTTTTAACGATAGCTGGAGGGCTTTCCGTTTCCTGCAAACCATGATTTTGATTCAGTTATGCGATCGTAAATGTGCATCTCATCGCCAGCGATTATATCATATAATGGCTATATATTACTTTCAAACTTCTGAGTTTCAATATTTAACAAAAAATTTGAATTGTCTCTATAACCAAGGTACTGAATTCGATACTTGTCATGAATATTAAAAAGACGTTTCAAAGGCAGATTTAGAGGATACAAATTTGTACCGAGCATCGCATTGATGACCTTCAACGTTTGCGTTAGATGGATAAATCGAATCTGTTTTT